TCTGTGGATGCAGCTCTGCTGTGCCAAGTGGGGCAGCTCGGCCCTACCGAACCATCCCCTGGTCCCCACGGACCACAGCTGCCTCCTCCTGTAAGCTTTGAAGGCTCTCGGACACGTCGCACATTGCCAGTTAGGTGATCAGGCTACACTGGGGTTTTCTTTAATCTGAATTAAAGCTCTGTTTTTGAGTTAGGGCTTTCAGGCCGAGCGTGTGTGCAGAAATGCAATTTTCTCTTTACTTTTCAACCAGGAGTTTCCTGCTACTTTGAAATCAAACCCTTACAAGATTTTATTTCCCCCAAATATTCAGATCCTGTTGTCTTCCAGTTCCGTTTTCACTCATTTTCAAGTAGACTAAGTGGGGGGGTTTTTTGTTGCCACAATGAGAATAATCCACTTGTGCTGTGAATTGGACAAAACCAAGTACATACAGAAAATAAGATTTCTATTTGATTCCCTCAGTAAAGGGGTTTGGACAATGCAAAATGTGCCTGTTACCATGTAGCGATGGATGTGGCTGTTTTAACGTGGTCACAGAACAGGAGAAAGGTAGCGAGAAGAGCACGTTCTCACTGGAGAACCACTTTTATTTTGATTATCCCCTCGTAAGGGGGATACATATGTTTTGTGTGGTTCTGGATACTGAGCTGTCCACACAAATATGAAATGATTAAATGGAGCAGCAATAAGCGGTGGCCTGTAAGTATTGCCTGGTGAGAGATAATACTGTACCTCTCTAATTGGCTCTCTACCAGCGTACAGTGTGACTGATTTCAGCCGTAGCATTACCAGTCTTGCTTCCACCAGCACTATTATCTCAGAGTGACACTTCCATTACTCTGAACGGAGAAAGATGAACGTCACCTGTCAGGCGCTGGTTAATTGTGTTGCTAGATGTATGTTACCAGGGCACAGGTTGGACATTTATGAACATAACTGCTTCCTCTGATGTCCACCATCCTTCAACGATCGATACAGCTCTTACAGTAAGCGCATAATTGAGTGAAGGCACTTACCACTGAGGGGCTGAAGATGAGCCCATTGCACGAGTTTCATTGTCCATACATTCGGCACAAATGAGCCGGTATCTGCCCTTTATTGTGTGTTGCTTTGTGGAAATAGAAACTACTGTGCCACTTTCATTTGTTTTCTAGATAAATGGCCAAGATGTCCAGAATCGGGAAGAGGCAGTGGCATTGCTCTCCAGCGAAGAATGCAAGAAAATTGTGTTGCTGGTCGCAAGACCAGAGATGCAGGTTAGACTAAACAGATGCACTGAGCCAGAACCTGGGTTATACTGTACATTCACTGTCACTGTAAGTAATGAACTGCTGAGAAATAGGAATGCCAAAGTTCCTGACGAAAGGAGAAAACAGATAATTGCAGAGCTTTGTCCCTGTTTAGCCAACAGAGAAAATAACGTGAAATTACTAGGGCTTGTTTTCCACAAAGTAAGCAATTCCTTTCCGGCAGACAGAAAGGGCAGGTGTACAAATACAGCTGGCAGCACTGATGTGATGTTAGTAAAATATGACATAGAACTTGAAAACTATGTGTTGCTCGTTAGATGATTCTTATATGTTCTGGGGATAAATTGCCCATACTTACCTCAGTCATTTATATGAACTTACACAAAGCTGTAGTTGGTCACTGGCAATGTCTCTTTTTATCCTATCTGCTTATAAGCAGGTGTGTAAACTATTCCTTTATGTACCAACTATGGGACTTTCACTACCTGGATCTAATTGTCTTCAAAGCACCCTGGTCACAAAAACATGCTTCTATCTTGAGAGGTGCATTTTCAAAAGCTTTTAAAAACATTTCTATGGTTTTAAAAATAAAATGATGCCAATGCCAAGAATCTTGCCATGCCAAGAATTTTGTATATCATTGCAGCGGGCAGATGTTAGGTTGATCACCAGACTAAAGGAGGAGTAGAGTGGGAGAAGAGTACTGTTTGTACTTCCCTTTATATTCTGTTTATAGGCCATTGCAAAGCAGAAAGACATTATATTTTCCCTGTTCTCTCCATCTGCCAACAATTCAGAGTTGGTTATCTTGCTATTTGTCTCTCATGCTATTGATCTGAGTGTCTCACTAGCTGCATACTCTGTATAAATTAAATTGAGTAAGTGTAATTCAGTGCCACTTGGAATCTCTACTTGAATATGGCAGTTATAAAAGATTCACAATTTCAGACTTCATTTCCTTTGTTTTTCAGGATTCTAAACAATTCCCATAAAACTGGTGATATAGTACAGCAAAAAAAAGCCATGCCTCAGTTTATATTGCAGAATTGTTGCCCTCACTGGAAGTTGCAGAAGTTTTGAAAAAGTTGTTTCAAAGTTATTCTTACTATTTTTCACTAAGATTTTGTTTTTCAGTAGGGAACAGAAACCTACCCACTTACAAAATACATGCCCAGGGAAAGTTCACTCTCTGTATTTGTTTAGACTGGTCAACATGAAAAAGTTACGTCAATATGAGATAAGGAATTACTTAGCTGTACGACTACAGCTTCCCATATGAACACTCCTTTCAAATTACAAAAGTGTGTTTCAGTTTGGGTTTGGGGCTTTGGTGTTGTTTGGTTTTTTTGTTTAACTTATGTGTTTTAAGAACATATTCATACAAAACTGAAGCCATAGTATGTCAGAAATCAGGCTGTCCACAAACTGATTTCTGCTAGTTGTGTTGATTTGACTCTGGTAAAAGACAGCAGGTTTAAGCAGGCTTTTACTTCTAGGTAGAAAATGGTAATGGCAGTATTGCAGTCTTGAAGGGTGGCTGCTGAGCACATTCATTCAGTAACAGGGAAGAAAACCTCTGACCATTTATTTGTGCAATGAATACCGATGAATAAATAATTAAGTTTTGAAACAGGGCACGGAAGGAGCACACAGCCTGTTTAGTATGTAAACAAATGGCACAGGCATGTGCATTCACGTGTGTGTATGTGCACACGGTGTATGTAGTGCACATGTACACTACATACACACGTACGCTATTATTTTTATTCTAAAAGCTGTAACGTAACATAAGCATTCCCATTAGTTAAGTACTGGGTCTGCCATGATCAAAGCAGAAGATTTGCTCAAGTGAGACTCATCTTTCATCTTCCAGATTTGTTAATCTCTGTAGTTTCCTCAAATGAGGGAAATTCAACTGCGTTCTTTATGGTAGAGGAAGGCTGTGTTCGTGCTTTCCTTGGGGGAAAAAGCAAAGTAAACAAAGTAAAAACAAGACAAGTAAACAAAACTAGTGGCCATTACCAGATGTTTCAGAGAATGATTTGAAAGTCCCATTAAAGACAAACATAAAAATTGCAAGTCCTCAAGAAAAAAAGTCTCCTCCTAATCCCAGACTGTTAGAGGCTGGCTTTGCCAAGGGAAATGGTGAAAGGCTTATGTACTTTACAAGAGGAGAGAGTTCACTGGCATGGGCAAAAACACATCAGAGTTTGTGAGGAAGCAGTGGTTTCTTGCCAGTATGCAGTTAGAAGTGCGACACAGCATCAATTGCTCCTTGTGTAGCTTTGAACTACTGCTTGCTGGTTTGGTGTAACTTTTCCGACTGGCGTTTGCGGCCAGAGCTCTCCTGGCTTCGAGGCAGTGGTACTTCTGCTGTAGGTGTTGGCCCGTGTTACATTGCTCTTGTGTCTTGGGACGTGAATAGCTGGTACTCTTGCAGTTGTCTAACGCTGAGACTTTTACCTTTTAGCATCTTCTTTGTCACCTTCTTCCTCTGGTTCGTTCACCAGTGACAAAACAATAAGTGTTTCCTTCTGCTACGATCTCATAGTTATAGCCAAGAGTGCCACTGACCAGTGTTTTCCTTTTCGACACGGTGTGCCATCCTGGAAGGGATCACAGATACAAGCGGATGTGTGCCACATGCACACATGTGCACAATGAACAAAATGGGATAAATCGCATTGTAGGCCAGGGGTGCCTGTTTTATCAGTTTAGAAAGATGTGAAGGGTGCAGAGTGGGTGCAGGAGGAGGGTATACACACTTGACAGAAAGCATAGCATCCCCTCCTGACCTTCTGCAACACGGTCTTCACCAAATGTCACAGTATTACTTTACACTTGGGGAAAAAACCAAACAAACGGATAAGCCTTGCTTCCAGGCAAATCGCAAGAACGAAAATCACCTCCCTTCAAGTCACTGCATCTTTCTGTCACCCTCCTCTGTTTGTTTGTTTACGTGGAAGATCAGTGGGAATATGGTGACAGGAAGGCGACAGAAGGTTTCTGCCAAGGTGGCGGCGGCAGGGCCGAGCGCTGGGACGGAGGTTGTTAACAGAAAGAGCCCGGTTGCCTCCTGGCCCTATTAGTAACATTGCCGCTCTTTCAGCACGGGGGCTCTCGGCGGTAATGAACATGACAGCTTCAGGATTATGCGCTGCGCCTTTCATACCTTTTGAAAGGAAATAATGTCTGTGCTGTGCCGTCTCCTTCATTATGAGAGAAAATCAGTCACACTGTTTCAAGAAAGGATAAAAGGCATAAGAGTCTCTTCTTTTTTATCCTTCTTTTTCTTCTTCTCTTTTTGAGTTGCGAACTCCTACCGCCTGGCTTTCTGAAGAGAATCATTAGGATGAAAAGAACTAGTCAAGCACTGCCATTTCGGTTTACCCTGTTTTAGCATGTGTCCTTGCTAACATAATATAATGTACTAATATATTCTTTGCAGCTGGAGGAAGCGTGGCTGGATGATGAAAGGAATGAATTCTTAGAGGAGTTAAACTTGGAAATGTTGGAAGAGCAGCATAATGAAGCAATGCAGTACACAGCCAACGAGGTGGAGCAGGTAGGACTGCTACTAAACGTATCATTTGAAATTTTGCTAGGTATACTTTTTTATTAATAGAGAATGAAATGGTAGGCTTTAAAATGGAGACAAAGGCTTTGACAAAATTCTGTCTCTAAAATGCTGCAAACTCTGGCACGCTGTCGATAAGGAAAAGGAGAACAATAGATGCTTAGGCCCAGTATGACAAGTTAGCAAACAATTTAGGAGGGTGTGATAAGTGCAGGCTTCTCTTTTTCTCTGAACTCTCAGAATAATATTGCTTGCTTTATTTAATTCTGAAATGTTTGTCGTTTTCGTTTATCTTGTTATATTTTATCTCAGGGTTTCTTTTTTAATGCATTGTATCAGTGTAGCACCTAGAGCTCCGAGCTGCGGTAGGTGCCCTCTTGTTGTGTGCATGCAAGTTATGAGCCAGCCCTTGTACCAGACAGCTTGCAAAACAAGATGGAAGAGGTGTTTAAAATAAACAACAGGTGTTTTGGTAATACAACTGTGTTTTTGTTATACCGACAGCGCACAGCTCGGCATTTGTTTAGTTAATGGAGACAAATAAGCATATTGTTAGCGGAGTCTCAGCTTGCTGCTATCCCCACTTTTACCTGCCCGTGTCTGCTGTAAGCAGTGTGACTGTGGCAAAGATGGGTCTTCTCAGCTGTGCTTCGTTGTAGAAAGCATAAGTGACTTTATCCACTCGGGGATCAGGGGATCTGTCAGCATGCACACCTCTATGGAGCCAAAGAAATAAAATCCAGCTTCGTCTCCTGGCTTCTGCACATTCACAACTGGGGAGAAACTGTTTTTCCACTCACAGAAATTTGTGACTTACAATTTTTTCCCCATTTGAATTGCTCGAAAGCAGAGCCTGAGGCATTTTTCTCTGAAGTGAAGAGAGGGAGAAATACTGTGAGAGCCTTCCTTCTTCTGGAAACCAGGGAGCTTACTTGGCTAACGGGAGACTTGGCTTCAAATACCTCACCGCCTGGTCCGCGCTGAGGGCCTGAAGGTGCCTCTGGCCCCTTCCCTCCTCACCTCCCCGCCAGCCTTGACACTGGGCTATTGATTGGGTGATAGCTCCTATTAAATCTGATCAGTGTACATAAATTAAATATTCATTGGGACAGAGATGCTGGCAGAATAATTAAGTCAATTATCTGGTATGTGATAGATCAGATTGCAAATCCTTGACCTCATAAGAATTTAGTTTTTTACACAAAGTGGAGTAACTCCAGGGTCAGAGATGAAGGGAGCCTTGCGACAGGATTTATGGGGGCCTTTTAGTTACGACCCACTTTTCCAGGCAGTGAGCCAAGCCTCAGTTTCCCAGGGTAAATGTGCTAATGACTGCACTGCTAGCTACTTTGAACTGATATTTGGCATCTTGTTTATTTTTTTAACCATAAATTTCATCTTGGATGACAAAAGATTTCTTGTCAGAAAGAACACTTGTTCTTCGCAAAGCAATTTCCTTTGCACGGTGACATTTTCACACAAACTCCCACTTCTGGTAGAAATTCTTGAGCAGGTCTGTCTACAAACCCCTGCCAGCCCCTCACACCGTCTGCTGGGACCTCTGAAATCACTTCACAGTTGTGACCTTCCACTCCCAAGTTCTTGCCGAGCTTTGGCTTTTTCACTGAATTTGGGTCGCGGGTAGTGTTAATTACCGAACAGTGGTGGGCTGTGAAGTGGTTTCACAGAACCCATTGAGACTGTTTATTCCCAATTGGGACCTTATACTGAGGATAATTGTTTTTTCCCCATTGAGATTTTACATCACTGTAGAAGAGAGCTACACTTGAAAAAATTATGGTTGCTTGTGCTCTACCGGTGTCTGACGCTGGGTTGCTTGAAGTAATTCTAGGAGAGCCAGGCATTTCTTTGCCCTTCTGATGAGTGATCGAATCAACCAAACGCAGCTTGGTGTGTAATGGGCCGTCAGTAATTTGTGACAGCTGCTGTCTCTCTAGACTCTATGTAGTGACTCTGCAAGTCGGAAAACTGGTTCCGTACTCCTTGTTAGGCTGGGAAGCCTGGCAGTTTCCTGAGGTGAATCACATAATCCATCGGAGCAATGAAACTGCTCTCCTTGCAGCTGCCAGTGGCCACGCCGAGTATCTTCAAGCTCCCTGGTTGGCTGTGGAGATTTTGCTCCAACGCCAGCCTTGATTTTTGTGAACCAAAACATAGTCCTCTGGCTTCATAATCATCTATCATCATGAATCTTGCGAGCTGCAGGAATGTACGCACACTACAGCAGAATATCCTTCCAAATACAAATCTGTTTTACAGAATGACATTTTAACATTTAGTGTGAGCTATCACAGAATAATTTGGTCCAGTTTGTAACAGAAGAATCAAGTACATAATCATGTCTTTTCTGTATGTTTTTGAGCCACTCCATAGAATTCGATCAAGAATTGTATCTTCTCTGTGTAGAATAGTCCAATAAACCTCAAGGAAAGATGTCATTCTCCATTTTTTATAACTCATTGTATCCCTTCCCCTTTACAACATCGCGGTTCGTTGTGCAGCAGAGATAACTTTGAGAAGAATACCACACATTTGCCATGAAGAAATTCTTATCAGTATGGAATAGATCAAAAACCTATTAAGAAGAGAAAGAATTGGATTAAAAAATTCATTCTAGTTCATTCAAAGCTGAAATGCAGTGAAAATATCTGGGGGAAATTCTTTTTTGCGAGAGACTTGTTTTAAAAGAACAGCGTTGTTTGCAGAAGAGCAGTTTCCCTTTTAGTACACCACTGAAATCAGCCCCGGTCGTCCCTGGTGGCTGGAGTACCCCGTGGTTAGCCTGGCTCCGGAGATTCCCCTCGCTGTGCTCAGAGACTGACCGGAGAGCCCAGCGGCCACGGTTATTAAAACCTTCGACTGAATCTCACTGCCTTCAAACTTTAGTAGCAGTCTGGGTTTGCGAGTCCCCATATACATCATAAGTTGTAAAATAAGCATAGAACAGTGCCTGAATTCCTGCAAGATTAGCCATTTTATAGGCATGAATGCTTGCTGGAGCTGAAATGCAGAATCTTTTGAGGTTCATTTATTGCTTTATTGTACGCACCGCCAGGTTTGCCTTCTCATTATCTGAGTTCTCACTGCAAAGATGAGGCCTGAGGAGCCCTTTGGTATTTCAAACAGAAGTAATTGTAGAAGAGATTGACAATGTAGGTTTGAAAACAAACACTTTGTTTGGAATAGATAACTGATAACACTGACAAAAGCAACGCACTGACAATTGGAGACTGTCTCTTGTTTTTCAGAAGGGACTTAACCTGGAATTAGGCTTGCTACCTTTCAAAATAAAATCACAATAATCTCGTGTTGTAAAAGACTGCTCAGTCTGCACATGTTTAGGAGCTCTGGCAAGCAAGACAAGTCCAGGACAGAAATGCCAGGGGCTGCCTTACTTGAGTGACAGTGGATTTTTTTAAAAATACGTCCCAAAAGCATGGAGTACAAGAAATATCTGTGTTATATTACTTTCCATTTTCTTAACTGAACTAGCTGCAATTATCCACATACTGTGGAAAGATTTAACATGATACGGATGTCTGTTTTAGGTTGAGAAGGATCTGATTGTACAGGCACTTGTTTCTTCCTGGCAGGGAGGGGACACCAAAGCGAGTACCTGACATTCAGGTGCCTGTGCTATAGACGCGTACATTTGGTCAAATCAGTCCCACCCATCTGATTTCTGTTAGACTGGAAAGACGGGGTTTGATTTGTTTTCATCTTTTGTGTGTGTTAATTATGGATAGTGTAACTTGAGTTGATGGCAGCGTATTGTATTCATTCAGTTTAAATCAAGTGGAAGTTGAAGGAGCAAAGTTTAAATTGTTGATAAAAGTGGGGTGGAAAACAAGAGCTACTAATTCTGAAAGTGTTGATTGCATGGAGCCAAACTGTAAAGTCTGTTTCCAACACCTGTACAAACAGATACATTAAGGGATATTTTCAGCAGTGCTGAAATATACTCGTTGGTGTGTGGCACCAAGCTGGAGACATCAGAGGAAGCATCACGGAGCTCGGCTCCTGTAAGCTGTGTACCTGTGCTAACACATCGTGGATGAGCCACCCTCTTTAGGGGGTTAAGATGGGTTTAGTCACATGGATGTGAGTCGTGCTATGTCACTTACTCTCCGGGTCAGAGAGCAGATCCTGGCCCTCCCCGTTTGCCAGTGTGAACAGAGCCCTGCGTCTGGGAGAGGCACCCAAGTTCCTGGCTGTCCCGCAGCATGGCCCTCCCGGAGTCTGGTGGAGATGTTATCCCTCGTGTCAGCAGTTAAATATTTTCCAAAGCAGTGAGAAACGTGGGTTGCGCAGTGCAGTGGCTGGGGTGCAGTGTAGGTGACCCAGCCTGGAGTCACTTCTCTGCTGAAAGATTTGGGGGCAGAGGAGATCAATGCAAACTGGGGCGACTCCAAAGCAGGTGAGAGAAGGGACCAGAGCAGCTTATGTAGCAGCACTCACCTGGAGGAGGTAAACCAGAAAAATACAAAATTAAACCTAAATTTCCAGCATTCCTGGTGAATGCTCTGGCCACTTCGCTGGTTGGGGTGCTCTTCTTTCTTGTTACTCCTGGTGATCATGAAGAATTTTCTAGACATTGGGTTTTTTCTCTGTGTAAAATATAACATCTTTGAACTCTCAAAAAACAGGTGATGTGGGAAAATGTTGCATTCTCACTTCTCCAGCTACTCCTGAAAATGGAACCAAACTGTTGCAGCCACTTTGGAAAAATATAACAAGAGCCTTAATAAAAAATCTTCAAATATACTTTGTACACCTTCACAGCAATGCATAAGCTGAGGAAAGAAAGAATAGATAAATGAAAATTACAGAACAATTCTACAATAGTTATTTGGAGTGTTATTGATACTACTCTTCATAAAGCTTCTTCCTGTGACAAGAAGATACCCTTGTTTCTTAAGCGGATAAGCAGAAAGATCTGAGAGGATCTCGGATGGGGAAAATGCTTACCATTGAATTTTTAAAACTTGCAGAGTTTTCATGAAAGTCTGCCTTTGTCCCCTGCAGTTTCAAAATTCTGACCTTACAATATCAAGAAACATTGAACCGTTGCGTGATCCCTGGAATAACACTGAATACATTCTGTCCCGTGATGTTTAAATTCAAGGGGAGAGTTTTCTCCCCACTTAGGGAGAATGAGAGCTAGTAATTGGCATATTGCTGGTGTGGCTGCCAAAGCTACATGGGAATTATACATTTATTGTGCGTTATCTTTTCAGAACTTTTTATCTGGTCTGTCACAGACACTGAATTCTCCTGGTGGTGTGTTTCTTTCAATATTTATTTTATTCCACTATTACATTGCATTTGGGGGGTGGAGGTTATTTTTGTTTTTCTGACACTAAGCCATTATTTTTTCTTAACAATTGAAGAAAGGAAACCAGATGAAGGGTGTGTGGTCATGAGGTGCACATGAAGAGAGGAGAAAAGAGGAGATAGGAGACGCATTGTCATCCCGTTTTACTGTCTGTCAAAGTAGAGAAAAAGGGAATTATGACAGTGGCCTCTTTGAGGTTGTTTCCTTTCACTGGGTGCACTGTACCTTTTTTCTCCCTTGATTATTACTACCATTATCCATAATTATGCAATTATTCCTCCTCAGAGAGAAACTACGTTTGGTTAGTACTGCGTACTGTTAGGTATTTGGTGAACAGGCCATATAAATTGCACGCTGCGTGGTTCTTTGCTTATCCAATTTGAAAAAAAAAAGTGTCTGTCTCTTCAGAGAGGTATTATCTCACGTTCTTTGACAATATAAATAGGTTGAGAACATAAATAGGTTAGGTACAATGAGTGGAGTGTGAATTAAAACACAACAGCCTAAAAACTTGACATTATGCCCATGGCGAGCACTCAGTGTTGTTCTACACTTAATGGTAAAAGGCTGTTTTTATTTCTAAGGAAGATAAACTCTAACTAGGGAACAAAAATGGTCTCCGGGGATTCAATGGAGAGAGGTCTTCTTGAGCAAAATCCTAGAATTCAAAATGAACAGTCTTTCAGAAAAAGACTACTGAAAACTAGAGGTGTGAGAGAGGGCCAAGGAGGGTGTAGTGCAACAGACCAGTCCTCTTCAGGCTTCAACCCTACCCATCTCGTGGAGCAAACAAGTAGCTCACTGGGTAAAAAAAAAAAACAGTAGTCTTTTTGCGCCCTCCTAGATTGTACTAGTCATTGGTTGGTTGGCTGCTTGCTCTATTTTTTTGCAGTGATAGCAGTACTGAAGCTTTTTCCCAAGTTTGAGAAGATTTCAGCTCCACCAAGTCTCTGGACATAATCCAGAATCAAAAACAGTACACCATCTGGTGATCGTTATCTTTAAGCGCTGCAAAGAGATGGCTTAGCTAGAGAGGGAAATATTTCTTTCCGGACTTTAGAAGATATATCACTGGTGCTGTAATTCATCTACTTCGCTCGGTATGGCCACCACAGCATGACTCTCAGGAATGTTTAAAAGCTATGAGCAGTAGGACTGCTGTTTAGCGATCTGTTTTAATTCAGCTTAAATCAGATCCCAGCTGTTTAGGCAGAACAGAGCTGGAAAATATTCTCATGTAATATAGTCTGCATTTGGTAATCATTTTGGTTTGCTCATTTTTTTAGCCAAAGAAACATGAAGAGGAGGATGGCACTACAGACACTGCAACCTCATCATCCAACAATCATGAGAAGGACAGTGGGGTGGGACCCACGGATGAAAGTCTCCGTAATGACGAGAGCTCAGAGCAAGAAAATGCACCCGAGGAGCAGAACAGGGCTACCCTGCAGAGCAAACGGGAGCTGGGCCACAGCCAAGATACGTTAGGAAGTGTTGAGCTCCAGTGCAATGAAAGCTTTGTGTCTGGGGAATACATTGAATCTGATTTCACAGGAAACCCAGAGGAGGAATGTGAAAGGTTTCGGCAGCTGTTGGAACTGAAGTGCAAGATTCGAAACCACGGGGAGTATGACCTGTATTACTCGAGCAGCATGATAGAGTGCAACAGAAGAGAGCAAGATGGAGTGGAGCATGAGCTGCAGCTACTCAATGAGGAACTGAGGAACATTGAACTCGAATGCCAGAATATTATGCAAGCTCACCGGCTCCAAAAGGTGAGGGATCAGTACGGAGACATTTGGGCTTTACATGATGAAGGGTTCAGGAATTATAACACCAGCATAGATGTGCAGAGAGGCAAACTGGATGACATCATGGAGCACCCTGAGAAGTCTGACAAGGACAGCTCCAGCGCCTACAACACGGCCGAAAGTTGCAGGAGCACTCCGCTGACAGTGGAGCGATCCCCCGATAACTCTCTCCAGAGGATGATCAGCATAACCAACAGGAAAAACCTGAGGAGCACAGTCGTGGCTAATCAGTCATCCTCAGGACAGAGCAGCAGGGAGACAACCTCAGCCAAAACCAAACCTGCTGAGCAGAACAGTGCTGCTGAGAATGCAACGCTGGCATCAGAAAGTGGCAAATTCACAGACCAGGAAAAGCAGAGCAGCGAGCACATTCCCTACCTGTCTCCGTACCACAGCTCTTCTTACAGGTACGGGAATATCCCTGCTCATGCAAAGCATTATCAAAGCTATATGCAACTGATCCAGCAGAAGTCTGCTGTGGAGTACGCCCAAAGCCAGCTCAGCCTGGTGAGCATGTGCAAAGACTCGCAGAAGTGTGCAGAGCCCAAGATGGAATGGAAAGTGAAAATAAGGAGTGATGGGACAAGGTACATCACAAAGAGACCAGTTCGAGACAGAATCCTGAAGGAACGTGCCTTAAAAATTAAAGAGGAGCGCAGTGGGATGACAACAGATGATGACACGATGAGTGAGATGAAGATGGGTCGCTACTGGAGCAAAGAAGAGCGGAAGCAGCATTTGGTGCGAGCTAAGGAGCAGAGGAGGCGGCGGGAGTTCATGATGAGGAGCAGGCTGGAGTGTCTTAAGGAAAGTCCGCAGAGTGGCAGCGAGGGCAAAAAGGAAATTAACATTATTGAACTGAGTCACAAAAAGATGATGAAAAAGAGAAACAAGAAAATCTTGGACAACTGGATGACAATCCAAGAACTGATGACACACGGTGCTAAATCTCCAGATGGCACAAGAGTGCACAATGCCTTTTTATCAGTTACTACTGTATGAACGCAACTTCTTTCAGAGAGTATACTACCAGTTTAGGTAGAGTACGATTGCCTCGTTCAATGTGGCATTTTTATATATTTTGTGACTGTTTATAGTTTGACCTTTTTTGTAAGCAAAATTACCTGGTAATTTTTCATTTGTTTTTCATATAACGGTACCTTCTTTATCTGGCAGTCTTTCTTTATCCTGCAATATATTCATATTATTCATTTGTAGCAAAAAAAAAAAAAAAAAGAAAAAGAAAAGAAAAACAAAAAAAGGGGAGAAGCGAATTAATTTCTTAACCTAATACATATCCTGTAAGTTAAGATCTGGATTTATTTCTCTAGTTTTCTTTTTTCTACTTTAGTAACAATACAATACCAAAACAAAATGCTTTATACTGTATCCTTGGCTTAACAAGTTTTAATGTTTTACATCTTAGATTGCATCTGTTTATAAATCATATGACACATCCCATCGTATAGATAAGAATGACATTTTTCCAACTACACATTGTACAGTACATTTAATCTGTAAATTGCAATTGTATTTGTCCAAGTAAAGTGTAGGTGGGCAATTCTCCTGTGTTATGTAGTGGCATTGGTCATGTAGCTGGGCAGTCTGTGATAATTGTGAAGATGAAAGAGAAATAAATTATTGCTTATCTTTAAGGAAAAAAAAAAGTCAAGAGTTCTTTGATTTAAATTGAGCATTTGCCCTTAAAGGATGAGTCATTTCACTATACATGATATTTACAGCATATAGAGACTTCAAGAACAGAGAACGCAATTCCATAGACTAGTTCTTATGAATTAGCTTTTCATTTTGCAGAATACGTAGGAGTGAGTGGGTCTGTCTGGCATTTTCTTACCTGCTGTTATTAGTTGATTGAACGATTCACTGATATATTACTGTGTTGTATGCTGTCAGGTATCTACTGTGGGTCTTTCCCTGGCTGAGCTTGCAATTTCTTCTACACGTGCAAAATCTAAACAGAACATATGCGTAACTTTGAGCCAAGTCTCATGCAAGAAAAACTAGCAGTGGCTGTCACCAGCATTTTCATGGAAGGTGAGTTAAGGAAGAAGAGAGAATGAAAGGCAACTAAATGAGCTAAGGATTTAACTTTATTGTTGAGGAGCATCAAAGTCTTCTGAAAAAGAGCCCCAGTGGGAGCTGGCTAGGGCTCGGGATCAAGGGCAGTTTGCTGGCTGGGTGCCTGCAGGAGCCCTTTTCTCTCCAAGCAGTGGAGGCACCTTGGCTGCCCCTGGGGCATCTTCTGAGCTGCTGCTGCCGGCAGCCCCGTGAGTTACGGCAAGCTGAAATGACTCGTCTTGGGCATCCAGCGGGGTCGAAGACTTCGCTGAACAGCCCCCTCTTCGTTGTCCCTGCGCATGACTCACAGCACTTCCTAACTGATGGAAGGGCTTTTGGTGGCAGGATTAGATGCTGAATTCACTTGGCATCAGTCTTTAAAAGATATGCTTAAAGGTGCAGAAAGGAGCATTATGGTGTTTCCAAATTATCTAATTCTGGAAATCGGTCATTTGTTTTCTAACCACTTTTGGCACCAGTAGGCATTGGCAGTGCTCTCTGCGTCTCCAGGCATGTAAGTACCGTAGGAACACTGCTCCCTGAGTGCTTAGGAAAGTTATGCCACTGACAGTTCACAGTTTAATAATCAGAAAATTCTCCCCACCAGACTCAGGGAAACATTGTGCTAAATCCTCACGAACATACAGCTGTTCCTGCACAATGAGAAATACTTCCACTGTTTCCTGTTAAATCAGAAAATGTGTGGAATCCAAGGCCAGAAAGGATCATGGGGTGATACAGTATTGATTGTTTCAAGGGGCTATACCAGATTGTCCCTCCAGCCCAGTCAGGGAATTGTCTTTGACCAACCTAGGGCATCTAGAAAGGTACACATTCTTCTGGAGAGCACAGAGATTTGGCTGTTTCCCTCATTGCATTCCAGTGTCCACACTCGTAAAAACTGGTCGCATTCCTAATCAGAGTTCAGCTGCCATCAGCTCCAGATAATGGCTACTGTTAGCCTTTCCCTTAGACACAGCACTTTCTATTTTCTTTCTGTTATTAAATCATGACTCAGAGCTCCTCTCAAACTAACTGTTATGACACCCAGGTTCAAAGAACAACACGAATCTTCAGAAAATGTAATGTCATTATTTCATCACTGAGAATTAAAAGTAGGAAAATCCATGTCTAATTAGAGAAACAGCCTAACTGGATTGTTGGGGGGGGAGTTAAGTAATAGAAAATAATTAGAGAAATAAATAAACAGTATTTATAGTGATGATATATTAATAGGTTGTAAATGGAAATGCATCCAAATCTGAGGAGATCTGTCAAAATGTAGTGAGAGACGACGAGAAGAGGGAGAGGTGCTGGAGGAATACTGCTGGTGGCACACCCTGAGGTGGTTCCTAGCTCGGCATGCACCTGCCAGCGCCCAGCCACCTTCTCCCTCCGTCCTCACCTGCTGGTGAATCAACGGTAGTCTGAAGGCATGTAAATGGGTTGCTTAGAACCCGGTATCACAAAATCATCCATTTCTGAAACTTGTTAAAAGACCCAAGAGTGAGTACAAAGGACAACGACAGGTTGTAAGAGACATTTGCCAGTCCTTTGTAAAGGCATGTCTCTGCCCAGCTCTTCATCTGGGGGGTTTCCATGGGTTTCTCTCCTTTTTTCTTAACTGCAGTTATTTCCTTTCTTCCCTAAGAGTTTTGGGAGAACAAGTGTTGTGTTTTGCCCTGATGAAATGCCTCGATCGTTCCTGCTAGCATGGAAGATAACCAGGCGGCCCCCGTGCGGGGCTGCCCGGGGAGGTGATGCCGAGGGGCTGGATGGCAGGCCAGCGTTCTACTGCTCGCTGCGCCCAGCTGGTTTCTCTGCAGGGCAGGACTCGGTGTTGCACTCCCTCATCGCAGCAGTTCTTTATCAGTGAAATCCAAGGCTGACGTCTCCCATGCAGTTTATTCCTGCATATACTTTTTTCCAAGTGTCATAATTTTTAATGAGGAAAATAACATTTTAGCACCAAGGCAAATTAAAAGAGAAGAAACAAAACAAATCTCATGTTGTCATAAATCTTTAAAGAAAAAAGGCTTGCCTGGTGTGAGAACTATTTTTTTTCATATGAAGGAACATAAAAATAAAAATGCTTTCCAACTGGAACAAGACCAGATCTTGCTTAAAAAGGTTGCTTGCAGCTCTGGGATAAAGAGCAAAAGGCAGGGACAAGGCACTGCATAGGTGTGTTACCATGGCCACCTCCCTGCTGGGGAAGGAGTTCGTGTCCCACTCGTACTTCCCCAGCCTCGGTACCCAGCCGACACCAGTGGGAGGTAATTTTTCTGATGAAGCTAGCAAGATGGCCTTGTAAAAAGAGTTATCTTGTGTCACTTGACAGCCGTATTGCCAGCTGATTTAAGAGCATCGCTCACCATAGGTAAGGTTAAAATCTGTGGAATCCCTGGATCTTCCTCTCCAATGTAAGTATCCTTAAAGGGAAAATAATGGTTTTGGTATGATCATGACAATAATCTAAACCTACTGCATCAGATTATTACGTTTTTCAAAAGAAAGGAACTGATAATGCTGTCTTGAATTGAACGAGAGCAATTGGAGAAGAAATCTTGTGTGTGCTTGATGCATTGCTCTGTAAGAGAGCTACAAGGATCTCAGAAAGCAACTTTAGCACTATGCTTTCTGAACTTGTGAGGAATGAATTATTCATTATCGTAATGCCTGACTTTTTTATTTAACTGATGTTCATTTCCAACTGCTGTTTCTTGGTACAAATTATAGAACAGCACCCTTGGTGCATAACATGGCTTCAGTGCTAACACACTTCCTAACTCGAGGCTGGAATTACTCCAGGTTTTGTTTTCCTTGGGTTCTTAACCTTGAAGCTGCTAATCGCAAACATGTATGTGCTAAGTGCTCTATTAATATCCGTTTTATGGACCTACTGCTTTTTCAGAGCATTAAATGCTCTTGAGGAGCCATGATAAAATGAATGTGATGGGGACTGGCATTTGGCTAACGCAAACCAGAGCAGCTGTCATAAACCTGGTGGTGTTACTCTCCGGGAGAGGCTGGTTGGGTAATGCCTGCTGGAGGAGAAAGGATGTTGCAGAGGGATGATGGGCAGTGTTTTTTCTTCAAATGTCTTTGCTCTGAAGCACGTTTCTTTGTTTAAAGAAGAGCATTCCCCTTGGATGACCCCTTGGCATTTGCAATGCTAAGCACTCTGCTCCACTTTTTAGTTACAGATAACTGCATCATGTATAGGTTTTGCCCAGGTTTTCAGATACCATTCATGCCCTAATGTCAGTTCCTACATGGACAGCTGACTGGCTTTGGATGGCACCTCTGAGATGAGACATAACCTGGGGATTTGGGATGCACGTGGCAAGGCAGCCAGCCCAAGTATAGTCCCTGGCCCTTCTCAGGAGTGAGTGGGTTCCTGTCCTGCTGGGGAAAGCATCCAGCTCTTGCTGCGAGAGCCTTCAGCTGTGTGCAGCTTTTCCTGCTCCTGGCAACTAAGCATCTGGATTTTCCTGGCCCAGCTCCTCTGGTTCTGAGCCAGGAAAAAATGGCATTTGTGTAGCAGTTCAAAACATTGATATCAGTGAGTTTAAGAAGTGATGTTATTTTGTTGTAGAGATTACTTAGATGGTGAAGACTACTTGACAAACAAAAACTGTTTGGCCAGTGAGCCATGTCAGACAGGTATTTCTAAATGTTTCTTGTTTTGGTTTGGTTTTTTGGTGTTTTTTTTTTACAAACAAGATGAAGTAGCTTGAAGGAAAGGATTGTCTCCTATACCATCCTTGGTGTGACAACTGTGGGTCGTGGGGCTGAGCTACAGGCATGGTGTTGACTACCAATATGAACTGTAAAGTAAAACTGACAGTTTACAGTTACATTGAGATGTATGTACTGCTTTTCACACTTACTAGACCATGAGGAGGGGCAGAGCACAGGACCAAGTTGTCACTAACTAATTAGTCCATCTCGTGCTGATAGTCCCTGCTGAAAGCTCCTTTCTTCAGTAATGGTACAAAGATGTCCCGAAACAGTATCCTCTGGCATACCAAAATTCAGAAGTGGCGGTGTCATCCAGGAGATTAGGGGTCTCCCAGCACGATGTGTTCTGGGATACACTCAGGGACCAGGGAAGGGCCATCAGCAATGTTTCACAGAGAAAAATGTAAACCGCCTCGCACTCCAGACTAGTTCGTGGTGTAGGTATCTGCTTCTGACTTTTCTTTTTTGCATTAGGATTTTAAATTTCATTTAAAATTCTAATTTCCTGGCTCTGTAAGCTCACGTTGCACTTTTAAGTCTCCTTCCTTCCTGCCTACCTGCCTGCTTGCTTTTTTGCTTTTTTTTCTTTCTCTCTTTCTTTCTTCCTCTTTCCATCTCTCTCTGTCTCTTTTCCTCTTTCTTTTAGAAGCAAGACTTTTCTGAACTTGAAAGGTAATA